GGCTATCGTCGAGAAAAGTAATGTATTAATGGTAATGTTCCTACTACAGAAAAATAATATTTTACAAGGCAGAAGGTTAACTGGATTGCTTCATGTTAGACAAAACCGCTAAGTACTCATTTCAGCTAACAGTGTCAGTTGAATCACCAACTTTTTAGATTTCATCTCTACAGGATCAATTAACACAATTCCATAATTATTTTCTAGTCTTATATTTTATGGACTTTTATTTGAATTTTGATAAGGCTAGCTGTTATGCAATGTCATTTCTATTTGAATAACTAATTATATAAAACGAAATACAAAAATACTTTCTTTATTTGAAATAGAAAAAAAACAAAAAGCATGTGTATAATCTTTCCGGTGAAAATTTTCTACTCTTTAGACCCGAGAGATTCAAACATGGATGTTGTAACATGTGGATGTTCGATGTGTTGGTTCAACAACGCATGTAAGCACGATTATACACCGTTATGCATTGGAATAAAGACAAATTTCAAAGATCTCTTGGCCTACGTGTTCGCCTATATCGATATATAGAATTATAAATTGTTCTACACGGTATTGTGATTTGAACCTTTTTGCTTAAATATAGAGTTTAATTTACATTGGTGTTTTATAAATGTGTGCTATCGAAGTAATCAATAGGGCGATGCGGCGCGGGCGTCGCTGAGTCTCAGAAGTTATTAGCTTGTTTAACGACAGGCGACTGTTTGTCTAGAAACACAGGGCCAATATTATCTAAGTAAATACGTAATATTTCCATTTCTATTTCTAAACCCCTATATAAATGTCTATCTTCATTAGGTGAAAAGTAATAACTTAAACTTAAGAGTTCTTTCTAGACATTTAAAGTTCTAAAAGTCGATATCGTTCTAGACTGTCTATTCAATCGGTTCCTCAGATAGGTATAAAATTATTAATTATAGATAGTGTGCGGCACGTAATTTGTCAAGAATAAGCTGCCGAAAGCGTATATAGAGAACATTCCGTACCAACAACAAAAAAACCATGCGAAGTCCCCGGGGACTGTTGTTTTTACTATTCTATCCCTAATGACCATATAAAATATCCACAAGTGCGTAAATAGTTAGAAACTTGTATGCTAATTGATAAGCTCTATAAACTTGCTGAGTCAAATAGAACGGAACGCATAATACAACAAATATTTATTCCTGACCATATAAAGGGTATATGCATTCATTCATCTATAACTAGGTATATTACACCCACTAGATCATGAGTCACATAGAAATGAATGTGAACAACGCAGTTGAATATTTCAATTGAGCGTTATGGTCTTATTTGGATTCTAACTAAATACCAATTGTAATTGCTACGAATCGTATTTTATTAATAGAAAGTATGACATCTTAGTCGTATAACAATTTAACGGAAAAAACATCCAAATGCCCAGAAATTAGACTAAACTGAAGTAAAATTAGTATTTCCAAAACATTACTAATTTTGTATTTAGTTCTATTAAAAATACTTAAAACGCTGCTTTCATGAACCTTATAAGCATCATGTTATACTCCATTTGCCCTCGGTTTTTGACTAAAACAATATGTTCTAGTAGACTTATAGTATTGCATAGTCCCTACATCGGATTAATAGCCTTTAAGACGATAAATTTTAAGTATACTTTGGATCTTCTTAAGATGCCAGAAGCCAGAAGGCCGACCATTAACTATCGAACTATATCGATATATCATAACATAACCAACTGTTAAACAGTTGTTTTCGATTAAACAATATAAGTGTCTTTTGGTTTCATAAGGAATTTTAAAGAACACAGAGACATACATCCAATAAATCCTAATGTATAGAATAAGTTGCCTGTGCAGCTGAACTATACTCAATTATTAATAGACGTCATTGGTTAAAGGAAAACATAGGATTTAATTGCAACAAACATTAGTTTATAAGTACAAAAAGTCCGGCCTTGTTTATTACATGATGTCATGGTGGCTTAAATTACAAGGTACTTGGCCTTGTGTCAGTAGTTAATACTTGTAACTTAGAGTATAAATTACATTAATCTATGTACTTTATACAACCTCTGTAAATCACTTGATCAAACGCAAGTTACACTATGGATTAACCTCTGGGGTCATGGAATATCGCGGAAACCGAAAGAACTATATTTTTATACCCTTCAAGGAAATGATGACATTACCTGGTTAGACAAACTTACATTCTAAAGCATACCATGGGGCATGGGATTGAGATATTTTGGTGTATGTTTGAAATTATTTAGTAGTAGGTGATCAGCCTGTGTAACGTTGGATGTAAGGTATGCAGGTTCCATCACAATGTATTCCTTTGCAAATGGCGCACATGACTTTTTCTACAAAAACCTCTCTACTCTAAATAAGATAAACAGGTTTAGATATTGCAAAACTCTACACCTACAAAAAATTATAAGTCAGCATAGTGCTAATTACAACCAGTTATTCATTATAACGTAGATAAATACAAATGATCTTGTTATAATTACAAAACAATCGTTAGACATGATGAATCACATGTTGTCAATTCGAACAATAAACATCAATTAAAGAAAATTACCATAGAATTTATAATAAAGTATAAGATATCTATAGATTGTTTAGTCAGTAAAATTGTTCTATGTTCCTTGCTTAGCCTTCCTGAATATAGTCAGAGGGTTATAAAGCGAAATAGAATTACCAGCGATAATTAGATATGGAGTGGTAGGTAATAAAAATATTTATTAATAAAAAAACATTAAACTGAAAAGGTGGGAGCTAGCTAGCTAGCGTAGTTTATTGTATATCAAAATGCCAAATCATAAAATGACTGCTGCACTACTGATTTCAGAGCGACCGCCGATGCGAAAACCGTTGTGTGAGTTCGAAAAGTGAGTTACAGAATCGCAGGGCTGGCAAGAAACTCTCCGCGACTCTTTTTAATCGCAAGTTTTGATTACAAGGTAATTGCAACCATTTTTCACGCCATGCTTCAATTGACATATATCACGTGAATTATATGGTACGTATGTATATGAGCACCCAAATTTTTGGTGCAAGAACTGTTTATGGTCTATAAAGTAGGTAGTTAATATTAGTAGTTAGTCTGTGCAAATAGAGAACCGGCGTGGCGGTAATTCCAATAGGCATCAGGATAGTAGCATTTTTATGAAGATGATTAGTCGAACTATAATGACGTACCAGTGCTGCCAACATAACAAGAAAGGAAATAGCACTGCGGCAACCTCTTATTCCATGACGGATTTTTCTCGCACACTCTTTATAAAATTTACTAAACTTAACTGAAACTAATACAGCTTTCAGGAAAATGCAATAAAATGCTTTAAAACTTTTGGTAAACCCAGTTGTGGCCTCTCATAACTTGTCATAATAAGAATAGATGAATTCTAATCAAGACGCTTGGGCCGGATATTAATACGCCACATAGCTTCATTAATTATTTAAAAAATATGCTTCAATTTTTTATATTAGGTACTTTTTTCATAGATTATGAGGAAATATTCAACTATGTCTTAATGAGTAGCGAGTATAGGGATCTGTACCTACCTGAATCTCGGTGGTAAAACAATATATTGGTGATAGAAATAATTGTAATTTAAGGTACGTAACTAAATCTAAGATTATCCCCCTATATCATTTTTCTAAACAGTCTGATTATCCTTAGCAAACTGTAAAACAGTCTTTATAATTAATGTAATGACATTTAAGCAGAAGATTAAAAAAAAATCATATATCTGTAACGTTATTGTTTACTAGGAATAATGGAAAATTCATTGAGCTTTATGCTACCTGAAAACGTAATATGTACATATTATGTTACTATCATTTGCAAGCTAAAGGCCGCTTTTGGTTTCACGGTCACCGGACCCGAGGTAGGTACGGAAAGCAGGCTTATCGCTCAACCCACACAAAAAATATACTGACTTTCCTCGAATCGACAACGGCGCTAAGAAATCAACTTATATTGAAATGTTTTAACCACCCTAAACTTGTATGGTACTTACACCCTTTCGAAGTTGCGTAGCTCGAGTTGAAATAACTTGTTGATGTGAGCTGAGGCAACGCGGGTGTGGGGCGACGTAAGCGGGTGAAGGGGGGCAAGCGCCGCTGAGCGACGGCCTGTCTACGGCGCGGTGCCGGCGACACCCTGTCTGCCATGGACAGCGACGTTGCCGCATCGTGCACATTCTTGTCCGCTTGCGCCCTTCCCCCGCGGCCCCGAGCCCACTAACCGCCCGCGCTCTCTGACTACTCGACAACGTCGCATGCAAACTTGTTTCGTAAACGGATGTGGCAGCGACCAAGGCAGGGCTTGGTACGTTATCTATTTCATTCACACCTATTTAATTGATCAAGTTGGAAAGAGATAGCAATGGTGGCGCTACGTGCTATCGGCTCCCACTTGCGGCATTTTTTCACGCCGAGAATGAGGCGAGATTAATGCCTAAAGCTTTGTTCACATTGTTCGTTGGAAAATAAAAAAAACTTCAAAATTTGATAATATACTAACCTTGTTAATTCTTAAGAAATTTTAAATCTAAACAACGAGAACCTCATAATGTGTAAAACACTATTATAATCACCTAATTATTTAATCTAGTTTTGCCAGATTTTTTTTGGTGAGCTGGGGGTTTTATAATTTATGTATAAATATACTCACAAGTACTAAGTATATTAATTTTGTACATCAATTATAAAACTAACAAATTGTTAAACTCCTTTACGTTTCGAAGGCTTATCTGTGCCAAAATTGACTAACTAAACAAATAGTTTCCTATTTATATAAGAACAATGTTATTTAAGATAACCATATTGAACTGATCTTAAACATTTTGATCTTAATTTGATAGAAACAAAAATATTGTAAAAATTAATTTCGACGTTATATTGTACTTGCCTGGGTCAAGATGAGCTTTTATTTATTAATATGACTATTATGTAATAACTAAAGAGTAACCTATTTTATAACAACATTGTGAATGCCGTCTAATGGATATACGCGGCTCAAGTCGCGCGCTGTGGGCTCCATGCCGCAGGCAACAAGCGCGCCGCCAACATCCGCGCCGCGTCGAGCGAGCGACAGTCAGTTCGGCGCCGACAGCTATCACGCGTACACGTCTTTTTCGCAACATGGCCGCTGCCCATACGCACTCGGTCCCCGCGCCCTCAGACCGTCGTTCAGAGGGCCGCGCTGGTTCCCGCCGCATATTTCCACCACAATTTAAGCTCCAAGTTCTCGACGCGTACAGGAGAGATCCTCAATGCAGAGGAAATCAACGTGCAACTGCGAGAAAATTCGGAATTCACCGACGACAAATCCAGAAATGGCTACAAGCCGAACCGGCTCTACGTGCAGCGCATTTGAGGAGAGCACCGCAACCTGCTCCTTCGCCACCGCCTTACTCCGTCGGCTCGCCAGAGAGCGCTCGCTTGCCTTCACCTCCGCCGGCGGCTTTGCCAATCCAAGTGCCCACACCGATAGCAGCTCCCGTGCCAATCGCGCCTTTTACCGTGGAACCTATAGATTTGTCATTAAAACGCCTTACACCACCTCCAGCACCGGTTCCATCGTATCCACGGCTGCCTTTGGCTCCAGAACCTTCGAGAAAACCTTTTAAATTGTTCAGACCATACCTAATAGAAGACGAAGCAAAGAGGCCAGCCATAGCGTCCCTACCCGTTAGTAGTGGCGTTCACGTGTCTGCATTCGTGCCAGTGCAGAGCGCTGCGGGGTGCGGAGGCGCGGTGTGCCCCGCTTGGGGCACGCTAGGACCTGCCTACCCGACCCCGCTAAGGTGAAACAACGCCGCTGGGGCATGGCCCCGTCCCTACTGTGATCTAGTCTCCGCCGACGCCCGTCTGGCGCCGCCCGGGGCGTAGCCCTCCAACACCGTGCCTTAATATTCTAAGAATGACTTGTCGCCATAGTGCTTTACGCCGTTGTCTCGAGATAACTGCTTATTTTGTATAGAGTTATAGATTAGATTTAGAATTGAAATGTATTTTTATAAGTGCGGTTTATAAAGTATAACTATTACAGATTATTATGATATACTTAATTATTATTATTACAAATAAAAATGTTGTTTACTATTATTATCTATTTCATTTTTGTTGTTCGCCCTCTATCAGGACGTACTAGGATGCAGGTAGCGCCGGCGCCAGCCACCTTGTCTACCTGATAAAATGTAATCCCTTAACAAAGAAACTGTTACTCAGAAGTCCGAACAATACCTATATTTCTATTGGTCGTAACTATAAATGGTTCGCTCATTCATGACTTTAAAAATACAATTTAAACTCAGTTCAGCCAGTAGATTATTTAGAAAACCTGCACCATCAATACATTCATTTTCAATTCATTGTTCATAAAATTGAATTATCGTTTTAATTGAGTTGTTACTTATTTTTTAGGAAAGAAACGAAATTTAATTAAAAAATGCACATAGGTACGGTCTTCAAGAACTTAATAATTATGTGTTCAATAAAGAGTCACCTAAAAGATAACAGAAGCCACAAGAGCAACAACGTCATTAGAGATAAGCTTCACTCATGAATACAAGTAAATATTAGTACTAGGTATAGTTTTGTCATTACTCAGTGATTTCAGTAATTGTAAGGTAAAAAGTAAGTAAGGATACTAAAGTAGATGCCACGCTTTAATATTTTTTACACGTCCTCGAGAGTAACACCATGTACCATTAATTTAATTATCATAAGTATTTATGATAATTAAAATATACTCTTCACCAAGTACATTCTTTTAAAGTAATCTAAGCCAAATGGGCCTCATATTAAGTTACCTCCTGAGGGCGGAATCTCTTCGTAATTTCGTTACATTCTGTAATTATTGAAATTATCAAAAAGTACAACGTCACTTGTTACAAATTGTGTTGTTTCGCAACCATTAAAGACCATTCAGGTATGAGTTTAATTTTCTCACTCTATAAGTACCTCTTTGTATCCGTATGTTGTTGTCTTATTATTGGGTTGTTAATAATTAATCAATAGATAACAATAATAGTTAATTAATGTATAGTTTACGATTGAACAAGTGTAAGCCAAGTGTATTCAAATAGATATGGATGAAATGCTAGTTAGGTATATATATATAACACGTATCTATATCGGTTATATAACATGTTCGCAATAAATAATTTACAATCGACTATTAATTGCTTACATTTCAAAAGATTTGTAAATTATATTTGATAATTCTGCTGATGACTTGTTAGTCACAAGACTCAAAACAAGCATATTTTTCTGTTTTTCATTAATTTTTATATAATTACAATATTATGAAAAAAACAAGGTCTTTTAGAAGTTCAACGTTACCAAACTTGCTTTTTTCTTTTTATTTGCAGTCAATTGAAGTGTCTATTGTCGTTTGACGAATGAGGCAGTAAAAAATAAAAAACAAAGTCTCGTCTGTATGCACTATGATGCTCAAAAAAGGTTGCTGTTATGGCAGCAAATGATAATAAAGGCAATAACTAATGGTTATGCTTGTGTACGTACCGCGTACGAATGGCGTCGCGCAGTCTGGCGTGGCGAAGTCTCATGCATTGCTTGCTATTCGTATTGAACATTTGTTTTAGCTTTGTTTTGTCAACTGAACTTCTTAGTTCATATTTGCTTCTATTTTTAGTATCGTGTTACTTTCTTTGTTTATTTTATAATTTTTAGTTGCTACTACATTTCTATTGTTTGATTTCAACGATAAGAGCCTTATTCTGACTTATGGTTATGTTTACCAAACCTATATGTATTTCAAAGTCTTTATTCGTAACAGGTTAAGTAATAAAGGTACTAATTATAAGCAGTAATTTAACGTTTTAACCACCAAATTTCCCAGGAACAAAATCCCAATGAATAAATTAGATTTAAAAAGGAGCCTCTGCCAGCCTATATCGATCATTCTTGATTGGTTGTAAAATGTCACGCATTAAACGTAGTGATAATATAGTGTGAACCTAAATAGATAAGTACCTACCACATGTGTAGTATTGCACAGTGGCTGCATTTGCAGATGGTTTACATGAAATTTACGAGCTTCTGCCGGACGAGCGATATGGTTCATAAAGTTTAAATTTTGAGCACTGATGTCACATTTATTTTTACCCTATGCGACGAATTTTGTCATAACGTATTATGGAACTAGTTTAGATATTATGTTACCAACATGTTTTAAATTGCTGATTCATAAGAAAACGACTAACCTTTTAAAAATGTATTGTGTAACCAACATAGCGTCGCTATGACTGAAGTCCTATAGCCGAGTCATACACATATTATCTGCGATTTTTTATAACGTTTAGCACAAGACGTTGATCAGCCTTCAGGGCCTTCGGTAGTATTGTTACATACATGAACCTAACTATACCGAGAACATTTGCATAACCAAATACAGAGCCACAAAGGTGTAACCAACAGCGTAGGATTTCCGTATCTATAGTAAAGTCTCACAAGTTACTTTTAATAAAAAAAGGGTTCGTGTACTTATGTACGCGCGTAAGAAGTTATACTTCTTTGGCATTATTAAAAATAGTTTTTGATTGCATGCAAATAATTAATTACAATTAAATAATCAAAGACTGTAAAAGGAGTCATTATAGTCAATAAAGTTCAGTTTACATTTGAAAAATTAAATAAATAAATATTTATTATTATTCTCTTACATTAAGTGTATCATAAATTCTATTATTATTCGAATGTTGTTTTTAAATTATGTCCAATGCCGTAGCATCTTCCGTGGGCAACTTCATTCTGTTAATTTTGTGTCACGGTGCGCGCGCATCGTAAAATTTCACTCTCATCTATTTTTCATAACGCACCTAAAGAAGTATTACTTCAAAAAATATGTCTTGATATCAACTAATTATAATATAAAATCTGAATCGACTATTAAATATGCAGGAGAGAAAGCGTAGGGTTGTGTCTATAATAAAAATAAATGCCATAATAATTACGTGTTTTGTCAGAGAACAAAATCCGTTATCTCGTTGTTAGAATTTGAATAAGTGCACTTAAATATAAGCTCCATTCAGCCGGAAACAATGGCACTCAGGAAAAACTTCATGCCTGAACAAACATAAAGCTACCTGAGGCTAAGGCCTACTAGTTGAGGACACATTGATTATTGCCCTTGATGTAACAAACGTCCAATGAATGAAGTCCCATGAATTTGTATTTAAATCATTACAGAGATTAATATTTATAATTCAGTGGTACTCTTTATAAGAGTAAGTGTCAGAAACGGAATTATTTTGGGTAAACATACAGTATTATCGCCTTGTCATAATGGTTGGGCTCGCGAGGGCGTAGCCAAGTGATAAGAAGCTCCTTACTGTAAAGAATGACCGTCTGCAGCCATCTCAATGCGCAACCGTTTTAGACCGTCAAGGCTACTAAACGGATTCTCTCATAAAGAAGGTCACCAAGTTAGGGACTACAAGTATTCTAAATGGAAATAACATTTCAGGCACTGTGATTTAGATTAAATAATTTTATATTTCTTTATTGTTTCGGGTTAGCTTACGGTAAGCTTTAGAAACAACACTTTGTGATTCGCATATTATGTCAAAAATGTATTGGATTATCGTTTCTGAATTATCTATATTCTATATATATATATAAGAAAAATGGTCTTCGTTTGAGGCTCCTTCACGCCTAAACCACTGATCGTATCGACATGAAACTACTGCCATTCGATGGTTTATGGCTATTTATTTTTTAAATTCCAACGTTCCTTAATTTTTTTATTGCTGTTTTACTTTTATGAAAATTTATACATACGGTCTTCACCGCGGAAACATTCGGGGAGGCTTCCTAGAACCTCAATACGTCAAAATCTGTTAAAAGCTTAATTTTCGAAAATTTTCAATTTTCTTAGCGGGAAGTTAAAAAGAAGAATTATAAAAATATTTAAAAAAAAAATTATGAAACATAAAATTTTATTTATTTCCTATTTTAATTCGCCCAGCAAAGCGGGCGGGAAACGGCTAGTACATGATAAATGATATTTCAGTTCTGTGGCTAAATTTAGTATAAAACATTTTCTTTATTAGATTAAAGCACGTTAAAGGCTCCCACGACGAAACCTTACAAGTGTTGCGAGGGAAATTCTAAGAAACGGGTTTTATTTTAGAAATACATATACATGTACCTACATAAAAACTGACACATATTTATTATTATAATGTTTAATTTTGTACTTGTCATAGATTTATAGTTTATACATAAGTGAAAATGTTTGTAGATCTACTTAATAGATTATTCTTCGATTACAGTTGAAGATCTTCTGTGCCTTGCCAATACATTTCGGTTTCCTCGCGACGTATGCCTTCACCGTACGAATAAGACGTGTTATTAGAGAAATTCAAAGGTTCCAACGCACGACTTCCAGGTTGAAAAGCGCGTGTTTAACTATTATGCTCACAATGCTTACATATATACAACCTGTACAGTTTACATATATGTAATGATCATGTACTTATATAAATTGTAACCAGGAATATATAATATGAAAACTAAAATTCAAAGATTTTTACAAACTATCTTCGAATCCTCTTGTTGGTCTGGCTTTCTTGGGTTTAGACGTTCTGGATTATATTAAGAAAAGTTTGAATTGCGATTTTAACAATTAGATTGAAGTTTGAACCAGAACTAATTATTCAACTTTTGCAAATGTATTACTGATAATAATAACATCGGATTATATATTTTTATTTTTTTATATTAAAAATAAAAAAATTTATTTTTTAAAAATTATTTTAAATTTTTTTTTTTTTTTTTTTTTT